TCGAAGATCAGGTGACCATAGGTGGATGGATTTACATCTGGGTTCTCAACTCTGTTCCATTGGTCAATGTATCTGTCATTGTACCAGTACCAGGCTGTTTTGACTACTGTGGCTGCATAGTACGTTCTGAAGTCAGGTAGTGTGAGTCCTTCAACTTTATACTTCTTCTTCAGTAGTGCTTTACTTATTCGGGGCTTCTTCCCTTTCTATATAGTTAATGATTAGTTTTTCCATCTCTTTAAAGAATGTTGTTGGTATTTGGATCGGGATTGCGTTGTATTTGTAAATTGCTTTAGGTAGAATTGCCATTTTCACAATGTTGAGTCTGCCTATCCATGAGCATGGTGTGTTTTTCCATTTATGTAGATCATTAGCCTTTTTGAGTTGTGATTATTATATCAATCCATCTCATTGGAGGGTTGCCCTCATTTTTGTTGGCCCTTTACCAAACATGATACCCGTTTCTAACAGTTGGTCTTTCCTGATGACGTGTCCAAAGTAAATGAGCTAAAGTATCACCATCCTTGATTCTAAGGAGCATTCTAGTTGTATTTCTTTGAAGACTGATTTGTTCATTCTTCTGGCAGTCCACAGTGTATTCAGTGTTCATTGGCAACTCCAAAATTCTCATGCATCAGTTCTTTTTCTGTTTCCTTTTTTACTATCCAGTATGGTATACATAAAAAACAAAAACCAGTTGCTGTCAAGTTGATTCCGACTCATAGCGACCCTATAAGACAGACTAGAACTGCCCCACAGGGTGTCCAAGCAGTGGCTGGTGGATTCAAACTGCCATCCTTTTGGTTAGCAGCTGAGTTCTTAACCACTGCACTGCCAGGACTTCTGGTGCACATAGTAAGTGCTTAATTAATTTCCATTACTCATTGAGTACTGGATGAAGAAAAAAACACCTCCCTGTATAGATGAGAAAACTGAGGCCCAAATAGAAGAAGCGACTTATTTCAGGTCAAACAGCAAACATGGCAGAACCAAGGCTATTGTGCCTTGTAGGTTGGCAGACCTGTATTTTGAGTGCTTAGTCCCTGGATCCCTAAATTCGAATAAGACAAGCTTCAGTATTCTTGAATATCTATAGGTAGTATTATAATGAATGCCTTCCTCTCACTTGCAAGCCCAGGCACCAGTCAGTACCACTGTCAGGTAGCCCAAAGCTGCCCAAGTGGTATTCTCATCTGAGTCCAAATCCATTGTGGCTACAAAGTAATAACAAAAGCAATGATAATAATGGCGAGAACAATAATACTAATAGCCAAGAAGTATTGGTTGCTTAGTATATGTTGGGTTCTTTACTTATTTTATTTCATCCTCACAGCCACTCACTCGTTAGGTATGATTACTCGCCTGGTTTTGTGCCATCCCCATGATAAGATGATTGTAATCCATAGGGTTTTTTTTTTTTTATCCATATGGTTTTCATTGGCTGATTTTCAAACTTGCATCATTGCTGGACACATAGTAAGTGGCTATGTAAGAGTTTTTCAAAATAAAATGAAAGTAAGTAGTCACTGTTGAGAGAGAGGCTTGGGTTGGCACGTTGATCCCTTCATTGGGCCCTTGTGTTATTTAACCAAAACCTTAACCCTTTCAATACCGAGATTCATGGAGCATGAAATCCCCCCTAAATCTGTCTCAAGGCAGCCACAGTGGTGGTTTCTTTTTGACAGAAAAGACTCCTTAGAGAATATTGACTTACAAAGGAGTAGGGGTGTGACTATCAGGTCGTGTCACAGAGTGAATGACCAAAATACCCCAAGTTACCCATGCAAATGGGTTTGGGTCTCTTCCGGGAGCCCCTGTAGAAGGCTCTAGACTTCCCTGAACTCCATTTTGAAAAGGGTATTTCCAGCCAGTGGGCTTATTCTTATGAGTAAGAGCCTTTCTTGGGGATTGAGGGGTGGGTTAATACCTGCGTTATAGGCTCGTTTTGTGCAGCGAGTTGCAAGATCCTTGGCTGGTGGGTTTGACCTTGGTGCAAATGGTTAAGCCCTGGGTTACTAACCGAAAAATTGGCAGTTTGGACTGACCCAGTGGTGCCTTGGAAGAAAGGCCTGGCAATCTGCTTCCAAAAGGTCACAGCCATAGAAACCCTACGGAGCAGTTCTACTCTGCAACACATGGGGTTGCCATGAGTTGTAATAGGCTTGACCGCAACTGATTTGGTGTTTTTTTGTGTGTGAGAGAAACAGATGCTTCCAATTAAACTATTGTCTAACACTGGTTATAGGGCACATACCTATGTTAAAATTGGGAAAGATCCTATATCTTAGGATCTTTGCATTGAAAAGTCATTAACACAAACACCCACTAAGCCCAGGCACAGAACACGATCCTCAAAATCTGAGTTTGTGCGGAAAGAGAGGAGTTTAAAGCAAATGTGCTTAATATTGAAGCCTCTAAGCTGCCATCTCTTTTCACGCAATGAGACACCAAGAGCAGTAGAGACGCCACTGTGTTCCGGGCAGAATGCCTTCCTCAGGCAACTGTCCCGTGGTTGGAATTCATATGACATTGTGTCCCAGTTATTTGGCAGATGTGTGCTTTGCTAGAGGGATGAAGTCAGATCCCTAAATCTGGCTGTGAGCTGACAAGTTGTTTTTAACGTAAACTCATCTCTAGTAGTAGTAATAGGACCAAGCCCTGTTTCTGTTTGGTTCTTGAGACTTTTCTTTTTTAGCACATTATCTACTATTTCCTTGAGAAATGTCAGCCAGTGGGCAGAAGAGGTATGGGCACATGAGGAAGACAGAGATGACTCGGGCCACGTGTTTGTTGTTGTTATTAGTT